GGAATCCTCGCCGAGGAACGCGCTGCTGCCCCATCGAATTAGAAAGCGAAGGGTAGACGCGCGTGAAAACGCCGCGCCGGCTCCGATCCTCGCGCGCGCGTCAACGACCGCTAACTTCGATCGTTCATTTCGTTTCCAGCCTCCGGTTTCGGCTGCAATACGGTTTCCCTCTTCGACGACCAATTACGCGGCGTCGACGCTGTTCCTGAAGTCTGCCACTTCCGGTGACATTAAAACGAACGCGCCGCTAATGCCACGTTTCGTTGATGAAACATGATTGCTGCTTCTTGATTTTTTATTTCTGGATTGGACAATAGGACGAGGAAGATAGATTACACTGTACGTCGTAACGAAATTCTGGTTGTCGTTTATTTCTTAAAACAGAGACATGAAAGTGATTCGAAATATAGCCTCACCCTTCATTCGATATTTAGTTACATATCCATTGATAATTTCTTTAAGTACTACTTAATGTCTTGAATAAGAAAAACTGAATATCATGAAATTAGATTGCGTAAGTGGCAACAAATGTTGTAGTATAATGACAGCAGAAGGCATTACCATTAACGTCACGAAGAAACATACCATTAGGAAGTAATCGTAGGTTGAATTCTCTCGAGAAGCAAAGTAGTCGAAGAAAAGAATGTGTAACAGTGGTATCGTAGGTGGTTCGTACAAAATTGGTTCTTCTTTTTCAAACTTGTAGCATGATATCGCTCGTTTGCTTCTTTTTGCATGGTATCGGTGGTAAAACTCGAAGAAATTTATTTAAGAATTTTTTACGTTAACGCGCTTTCTGATTGAGATATCAGCGGATGAGGTCAGAGATGTTCGCGATTCCGTACCTCGAGGCAGTAACACCTACTTCCTCTTTGTATCTAAGATAGTCTGCACATTGCCAAACATATGTTGTTTGTGGTGGTAAATTCTCGCAACCCTTCGGGCACGTCTCGATTCCTCCCTCCCATACTTGGAAACCTACCGAAGTCGGGGAATCGGTTGAAATTCGTCGGCAGTAAATTACTCGTGCGATTGGCGGTCGTCATTTGGAAGGATTCGTCGAGACTGAAGACTCGTTCCAGCGGAACGAAAGGAAACGAGACGAAACGAGACGAGACGAAACGGAAGCCGCGACGATCTACTTCGCAGGTGAATCCGTAGGTGACGTCCCAGGGGGTGTGCGCCGGGTACAAAGGGCGAACCGGTAGCAAAAACTGTGAAGCGCTCTGTAGAATTTTCAATAAGGCGGGGTCGGAAGAAGAAGATTAATGCAACGCCGCCGGGGGACCTTAGGAGACGACAGCGACATGACTGTCAAAAGAACATCCCCAGAGGCGAGGTCCATTCGCTCCTGCGAGTCCGCAATCCCCGTTCTGGGCCACCATCTTCCTCTTCTTTCTCTACTTCCACTTCTGTTTCGTCCTGTTCTCGCCAGACCTGCTCTTTGCCCTTTCCCTCCATGGTTTCTCTCCTTTCCGTCTCTTCCTCGGCCTCTCGTTAACCCCTTCTTCGGATGAAGAGTTTTCCCTTCCCCGATCTTATAAGTTTACTTCCCTTGTTCTTTTCGTGACTCTTCCCAAGTGTTGTTTCGCTTACTCTGTTCTTTGTATGAGGGCGAAAAGTTTGCAAGTAGACGAACTATATGTGTGTTTGTATCCATAGATGTTCAATGGGTTTGTTGTATTTTTCCAGGTGAAAAGGAGCAAAGCAAATTAAGCAGACTTGGAAAGCAGAAGTCTCGAGTCGTCTGGCTCCAGAAGTAGACGTCTGGAAAGTTGTCGTATAGCGGACCACGCACGGACAGGATATGACACTGTACCAGAGACAGATTATCCAACATAAAAGACATAGTTCGGTAATACTCTTGTAACTCACCGTCGTTACGATTTCTCTCCTCTTTGCATTTCTTTTTTCCTAATTAGCACCTGCTTATCTTATTAGTTTATATTCACCAAGCTCACAATATTACCCCTTTTCTATGCCTTCCACGATACCTCTTTTTTTTCAACCCTCGTTCTCTATTAAACTTCCGCTTCTCTTTGACGCGTGACAGAGGTCTCTTCCAAACGACAGATCGTCTAATACGAAGAACGTAGCATAGAAATCATCGAATAATATTCAGCTTTACAACTTTTCCTTCTTCCTCTTCACATTTCCGCTTGCTAACATCTCCCCAATTAGCCGTTGCTTATCTCAGCAGCTTGCACTCTCCAAGCTCTCAATATTTACCCCTTCGTTCTTCTGCCCTAGCACCTTTTCCTCGAGCCCTCATCCTCCGTTAAACATCCACTCCCCTTTCATCGAGCTATCTCCCTCCTCCTCCAGCCTCTCCTCCAAGAATCTTCTTTCTCTCATCCCCTGTTATCAAGAGTCTACTTCCGTCGACCCGTCTTTAGCCTCTTCCGCTTCTGTTTTATCTTCTCTTTGTCCCAGCGTCTGTCCCAGAAGAAGCGTACACGCGTGTGCAGGTGTAACCGCTTCGAGGCAACGGAGCGAGACGATTCGCCGGAGAGGAAAAAAGTCTTGGCGCGGTCCGGCCCGTTGGAGGCTGTGCCGTGTGCCGGCGGGGTGGTTCAAAGCGATCGCGGCAACTGCCATCCCTAACCTACAGGGGCGAACCTCGTCGGCCCCGAGACAAACCGCAATGCCTGCACGCTGTTCGATCAATCACATGCGTCGACGGATGCACGCGGTCACCGCATGCTGGCCCTCGAATCGAACACACCGCTCGTTCGTTTAACCCCTCGCCTCGTTAGGGCTGAAAGTTTCACGATCGAGGGTGACGATGATCACCGTGTCGCGTGGACGATGAATTTAGCAAGTGTAGAACGACAGAATTTACGCTCTCGGTTGAAAGTTTGCAATTATTATTGTATTTTATAAAAATCAAGCGTTTAACCCTTTCATGTTTAGTGGAACGCGCATTAACGGTTAAAAGTTTGAAACAGCTTTGCATGTTTCTAATTGCAGACATTTTCATTAATTTATAATTCGTCTATGGTCATTTCTTTGGTAGATTCTTCGGTGAAAAGTCTTGCAAAGAAATTTCGTTATACGTAATTAATACGAATTTACGATGTAAAGTGGCAAAGGAAAAGGGATTACTTATGAACGAAGGTGTACGTCTCAGTGAACGTTCTCTATGAAATAATGCGCGTCATTTCGGACTGGTTTAGCATATTTGATTACACATTGCTTGACAATCGTGACGATAAAGTGATTGTATTTACTTGGCCACAACGACGGGCATCTCGTTTTTACGCTCGTAATCAGACTGCGGATATTTATGCATTTACGGGAAATTTAAAGGTAGAAAAATGCACAGAACGAACATGCAAAATATTCAAATTAAGGTAATAAATTTTCATTTTCATTTCCATTCTTTAATCTTGTTCATAAAAATATGAATCTACATAGATATGCACGATCTATGCGTAATTGAACGATTCTATAAACATTTTATGCTAACCACCAAGCATAATTTCAGATTAATAACGAAACTAGAGAATTCATCAAAGGCGTAAATTTTTGGCCAATTAGTTCGCTGTTTTTAAGGAAGCAGTGAAGAAACGATAAATTATTCCCGTGTTTTGCAGCGGTTCGTTCACGGAGCGAAGTAAATTCCTTTATGGAGTTGTTTTTTGAGTCTGACAAAGGGTTAAGTAGACCAACTAATCGATTAACCAGTCGATGGACCTCGGTGATAGTAACTCTGTCGCGAGAAGCGTTCGAGTGAATATTTTAATGCGCACGTAATAAATAGAGCCACGTGGGCCAATCAGGCTCCTCCGAGAAATGTTTTAATAAATTTTTAATCCACTTCCCTGCAAATTTTAAAAAACTTGCTTATCGACTATCGCGCCCCCGTTAATTATTCCATCGATTCCTCCACGACTATTCAATTATTACACGAGAATGTAAAAATCCCAAAAGCATATAAATCCTTATTTAACGTCAAGAAACGCGATAATCACAATACCACCGTTTCGGTGCATTTATTTTTCAATGAATATTAAAAAAAAACCGTTCCAAGCCTAGTTCCCTCTAAAGTCACCCCTTCGACCGTTATCGCTATCGCTAATCAATTAGTCGCTCCGACGGTCTTTGCGCGTGCAAGGAGAAAAAACACGCAAAGGGTGAAGTCTGCCAAGAAAAAAAGAGGAAATAATAAGAAAAGAAAAAAGAAAGCCTGGCTGAGAAGCGGAAGCAGGGGTAGAGTCGATAAAGGGGCTGGCCTCGAAAGTCGAGAGGCAAGACGAAGAGGAAGTTTCTACGACGTTATAAAGATAACTGCGTAAAAACGAACGACCATAATCGAGAAACGAACGGAGGAGTCGCGTCACATCGAAGACACGCGAGCGTAACCGCGTCAAACCGTATTCGTGTTTGAAATTCCGCGTTAAGCGGCTTCGACTTGGAAACGCGTCCACCCCCGTACGCCAGCGACTTCCGGCTTTCCACTTTGGTGAACGCTTTCGCAACTACACCACGTCACCCGCAGGAATTATGGGACGTGCTCGCCGACCGAACGGAAATATTTTAATATAGCAACGGGGATGCGTTTTAATATACATGGGACTAGCTGTTGGGCGTTTCAGCTATATCGTGAAGCTTCTCCGAGCTCGCTAAAGGGCTGGACAGAAGGGATTTTTATGGGTTCCATCGGAGAAACCAAACTGAACTTGCTGGATTTATTGCGCCAAACTGGGTTGCAAATGTAGAAAGGGAAATTGAATTGCGTCTGTTAGAAAGCTAAAAGTTAAGTGGTTTATTGTCCGAGGAACTACTGTTTCTATTTGCGGCTTTTGTTGGATACCTTGCACGGCAAGTTCAGCACCACCCACGCGGTGTGTTGTTAAGGGAATACTACGTAGCTCGATAAGGGAAAAATTGAGAGGGGTTGAAGGTTGCGTCGTTTAATCTTAAAATTCCTGCTGGAAATTACCTTCGCTGGGTGACCATAAAGAGCAATTTTGCAGCGAGCGGAAACATGAAAGTGCATTATTGTAGCAGCTTCTCCCGTGGTAAAGGGAACAAGGGTAGCCTTCTTCGCGGTATTACTCAAGACATAATACGAAATACAGATTGTATCATTTATCAGGAATATCTCGAATACCTTCGTCGCTTTCGAAGATATAACGAAACGCCTGCGGGCGAGATAAAAAAATATTATCTGATCTACGCTGCTCAAGGTCGTACGAAGGCTAGGTAAACGACATCGTAAACTCGGTACTATTTCAGAAATGTTAAAAAAAGAACCATTATTATGCGAGTCATAAAGAGGCAACATTTTAACCCTTCGTGATATCCTAATATTGAAACGTAAAATAAAGATTCGAACTTTCTAGGAATTATATCCCCCTTTCTTTTTAATAACCACATACTCAATTTCTACGATATTGTATTCTTCAAGAATTGATGCGATTAAATTATCGATAAGCAGTACGCAGGCGTTGAAAGAGAACCAGGCACGAGAGAGAAAGGAAGGTGCGATGCATCTTCTCGAAGAGTTCGTTAAATCATCGTCAAGCGGATGGGTCTTGGAGCGATTAATTCGTGTCTAATTTTTGATCGCGCGCGCACGCTCATTAAATCCGTTCTCCTTTTCAGCACGTCGCGTGTTTTCCAGTAATCGAACGAAACGGCTGGTAATTTACGCGCGGCGCGTCCTGGCCGGACAAGTTATGTTATTTAATCCAATCGGCGTGTCAATTTGCACGTCAGGCTGGTTCGTCGTGAATTTCAAAGCGACCGCCCGAAGGTAGCTGCGGAGGGACTCGGGGAGATTCAACGAGTGCCGCTGTAAATATGTATTAAAAAATAAAAAAGAGAGATAAAACAGATAAAAAAGACGGAGAGAAAAGATAAAAAAAAAAGGAGAGCGAAGGATGGGGCAGAAAAAAATCGCTGAGAGCCCGAAGCGCGAGAACGAATCAGTTTTTCAGCGAAGTATAAATCTCGCCGCGGAAGAAAGGGAAAAAAACGATACTTGAACCCGGGGCGCGTAATTATTTTAATGCGAATTGCGGCCACGGCGTCGCTGAAAATAATTCGCATCGATGATGGAATTATTTACACGCGATTCGCGCTGATGCTTGGTTTTTACGCCGGTTTTATTTCATCGTTTCGTATAATTCGATGGAATTTATAACACGCTCGTTTACCGCGAATCGCGATGATTATTATTACTCCGTGTGACTGGCTGCTTTAGCTGCAGATTTTCTGCCCACTGATTCTTGCCAGTTTATTTTGCAAGTTTATTTTCAGCGACGCGACGAGCGTGAAAGTCTGCGTCGGCCGACAGGTTTATTTTGAATGATTTTTACTTTTAACCCTTGCCGGTATTTTTAAATATCGCGCCACCAAGTTGCGCGCCGTGAAAAACGGAAAAAAGGAGAATGATCGATAGCGAAGCAGAGTTCTACCATAGCGACAAGCGCGTTCAACGTTTCTCTGACGATGACATAGATGGTGCGCGCAGCTCGAATGGATCACCACGTGAATCGTGGATCCTTCCGGAGCGGGAAAACAAAAATTCACGCTTCAGACGTCAATTACGTTACTTTATAATATGACAAAATATATATTATATACCTTCGATTATTAAAATTTGCATTATTAATTCTATTCGGATAACGGCGGTGGACAGTAACACTGTCCTTCCTTCTCTGCAGCATAACGAGCCGCGCATTCCTTCAGCAAAATCTTAAACGGGTGCGGAGTAACATTGTCAGAAGCTTCCAACAACTCCTCTGTCAATTTCTGATACTCTTCTTGCCGCTTAATTTCTTCCAAATACATCTTCTTATCTTCTTCAGCTTCTCTACGTTTCGCATCCTCGGCCCGTTTCCATTGTTCTTCCAAATCCTTTCTATAAGACAACATTTTCTCCATCTTTTCTTTTCTTGCATAAGCAGTCAACTTGGCCTCCGATTCTATTTGCTTCTCCAGCATTTCCTTTTCCAATTGACGCGCTTCCATCTCCTTCTTGTCATTCTCAGACTTTAGCCTCAGTTGTTCCTCACGACCTCGAAGAACATCCTGTAGAATCTTTATTCTAGCCTCTTTGAATTTCTGTACTGCAAGATTTCGCTTGCAAGCAGTGTCCTGCATTGACTTTTCTATTATTTTATCCACTTCCAAGTTTCTTCTAGCTTCCTCTTTCCGTAAATCTTCCAAATATTCGATGTAAGCGAGTAATTCTCTACGAAGAGCGGCACTGGACTCTTTGATGGCGGACTGCTCTTTCGCTAATTCCTCCGCAGCGATGATTCCTCTCAAGCGGTCCATTTCCGCTTCGTGGCGTGCCTGCTCGGCTAACTTCCGCTTGGCTACCAGAATCTGTTCCTGTAGATCCTTCTTCAGCTCCTCTCTCTTCTGACGTTCTTTCTCGAGCTTCTCAAGTTCTTCTTCGCGAAGTTTCTCTATCAGACGTTGCATATGCTCTCTGTCTTCCATATGTATTTGCTTCTTTTGCTCCTCCAGAGCTAACTTTCCTGCTACTTGGTTCGCCAGGATGGTCATATTCACTTGTTCCGTTAGACAACGTCTTTTCGCTTCCTCGACCTCTCTCTGTTTCTTCGCTTCCACTTCCTTCAACATCAACTGGTGCCAAAGATTGTCTAATTCTTTATCTGCTTGTCTCTTGGCTTCGTTAGCCGCCATTTGGGCCAAATTTCCCTGTTTTGCATCGATCACTGATTTCTTCGAGCGGCTGTTACGAATTTCTGGACATTGGGCTATATACTGTTGCATTCTCTTCGCAGCTACCACTGCTAAACGTTTCTCTTCCTCTTCTTTGCGGATTTCTTCTATCGAACGATGCATGTCGTCCATCCTCGCGTCGTCGCCGTGCTGAGCCTGGTATATCACCTCGTGAATCAGCCCCATCTCTTCTTTCAACAGTAACTCGCGAAGTTTTTCTCGCCGCGCATTCACGCCGTCCTCGAAGGATGCTAATCCTGGAGAATCATCGGTTCTTGACAGTAATTTTATTGGAGAAAAAGGATTCGAGATGAGTTATAACATTTTTATCAGCGATATTAACGTTTCTGTAGAAGTAGGAAAGAAAGATCTAACAAAGCTTAAATGTTGAACAACCGAGAGAATTCTTTTTCTAATTTTCTCAATGATTTATAGCCTTCTAGATCTAAACTTCCTTCCTTCCTCCCTTCCCTCTAAAAATTTCACCTAATTTTAAAAACACCACATTCCGAATCCTTCTCATCATACACCATACAACCACAAGCACACCATCGCTAATCCTGCACGCACCTCTTACTTCAATACGCGTCCTGCTGATCAACAACCTAACGTCCCTCACAAGTACCTTGCTGAACTCGCTGCCACACGCTCTTCTTCTTGATTTTGCTGTTCGTTTGGTTCTCGAACTCCAGAATTTTCGTCAAATGTTCATACTCCCTCTCCTTCTGCAGTCGATGTTCCTCGTACGATTCCGGGATCTTCACTGTTTTGCAACCCGATCTTTCGCGCAATCTGTATCCCCAAGGCGCGTTCAGACTACCAATTGCAACCGTGGGATACTTCCTTGGCTTCAGAGGACCGCATTGCGTCTCCTCCACCTTGAAGAAACTCATCTCGTTCGATTGGAGGTTAGAAACGTTGAAACGATGGACGTTTAACGCTGCGATCCTTGGCGGGTCAAAGAGAGCGAACCTCTGTTTACCGTTACTACGACGACCAGTCCTATTGAATTAATATTTGGACCTGTTGAGAGGGCGGGGGTTGATTTGCAACGGTGGTCTGGTTGCGGTTCGGTTAGGCTGGGTACACTTGGATGTTGCTCAATGCTGTGGAACGTGACTGATGCGCACGAACACGCTCCAAGGTGGTGAATAGGTGTTCTAAAGGACCGACTTTGGCGTGGTAATTGGATCATTACTGGGAATTAATGGGCTATCAATGGGGTGGCCCGTTTTTCTCGCGTGCCCGTCAAACGTTCAATGGTTCGAGCATATCGTTGTATTCGTCTGGTTCTTAGACGTTTCAGCTTCTTTTTCAATTAGTTATAATAATTATTAATTAGTTAGTAATCTGTTTTGGCGAAAAAGCGCAATAAACCTGAAGCAATGGCAAATAAAAATATAAATACATAATTGTAAAATTGCCACTTTGCTATTTGACTATTTTTTTTATCCAGTTCGTATTAATTACTCTCTGCTTGAAAAACGTACAGCAAACATTTTCTCTGCAGGATTCTTGACTTCGCGTCAAAGAAATGTTAAAACTTCACTGAACCATCGAGCACCTTTGACCAGGTTTACACACGGGAAATCAATTACCAGGGGGAAATCGTCGGATCAGAAGCAACAGTAGCCTGGCGGCAGAGACAAGAAGCGAGAGGAGCGAGGCCGCAAACTCGACGGCAAAGTGCTAACATTGCACGCCGTCAGAAGTTCAAGACTTCGACGTTGGCTCGTCTTTCAAGTTCATCGAGTTTACGAGACTCCGTGTAGTTCGATTACACGCCCCCAGCCATGACTGTAACGCAATATCTATATCGAAGTAATCAAGCTCACAATATCCCCGATTTAGGCAGGAAATTTCGCCGGTAGACGGGGTGGCTGCACGCGTCGATTCAGGAATTACACGCTCTGGCTCCGGTTTCTCTTGAGTGAAACGCGGCCATACATTTCCTATGCATATTTGTTCGCTGTGAAATTTCATCGAAGGTCTACGAAACGACTGTTGCGCGAGAAAAGGAATTGTCTTGGATGAGAAGGAATCAATAAAAACATGGAATTTTTAGTTTCAATTGACCGTGAATCTTGTTGGAATTGTTGTGCAACTTTGAACGAATATAGAATTAATTTCAAATGCGAGAACAATAAATAAAAATGATTGGTGTCTTGCGATTGGTCCGTACCTTGAATCGCTGTAAGAAAGATGAAGAATGATTCTTCATTCCATTGAATCTATTGTACTCGATGTAAGACAAGAAAACTGAACATAAGATAAATAAGAACATAAACAAGAAAATAAATAAAGTGTTGCAAATTCTTTATATTCACCATACAGCGTCGTAAAAGTTTCACGAAGAACAGAGGAAACTGAATTGCGCCAAATTGAAGCGCGAGAATTTCCTCAGCCGCCTGGTAACTAGATCGAACTATTCGTTATTCAGTTATTATAGATAGTTCACCTGATTGCCGACGGATAGAGTTTCGGTTTCAAAGATTTCTCGAAAGTAACTATGGTATCGTTGGTGCTAATCACTGGGCCGGTAATCGGCGTGTACCATACTAACCTGGCGTAGGGGATACCATGATCAACGAGGTGGTTCCCCCAGGCATGAGGCCACAAGCTGAAGCCTGTAAGTACTCCTAATGTGAGTATTTGTGCGCTAAATTTTTGGTAATGTGGGGTGCTCGCGGGAACGCGTAGACCCCTACTCATAATCCCTCAACGAAAGTCCCGTATAATTTTCATCGATCAAGCAATCGCGTTACTTTCTCTAATGAAACGAGTAAAATATGGTACAATATTTTTTACTCAAGCGGATGATGTAAAATAATACTTGCACGATGCAAGAGAAATGAAAATAATTGGAAGGCGTGAGAAAATATTTATTTCTGATAATATGCTGTTTTTCACGTAGCAAGGAAAACAAAGGATTCTGATGGTCCAGATTAGGCAAAATCCTGGTACGATCTCTCGGTAAAACATCTTCTGCATGGAAACATCCTAATTACCAAGATACTGTGCAGCTGGAGCACCTCAAAAGTCACAGATCTAGTCCGTCGACGAATCCTTGTTCCAATCCTCAGTCTCCACAACGAGAACCAATCGTCTTCGCGGAAAGCTCATCTTCAACACCTTCAAACCTCCACCTTCTAGCATCATCGAATCTCTCGTTCCTCTGAAATCGAGCGTAACACGCGACCTACTTCTGTAAACTAGCTCTGCAACGTGACGATTACGAGGTCTTCTTTAAACCAGCGGCTTCGACCGGTGAAAAGCCGCGTTTCTGGCGTACGTGTCGCGCTCAAGGAACGAAGAGACAGACGTTGTAAGGAGCGGTCGCTCGTCGAAAGAGGCAGATGAGAAGTCTTTGCCGGAGAAACTGACGAGTGGCGCGCAGCACATCGTCCAACTCACCTAGTTCCATCGCGGAATAGTCGGCCAGGAATCCTCTCTTGAGACATTGACATTTCTTATTGCGCAGAGCTTAACGTAACCCCCCAAGTGTTCCTCGGACAACGGAAAGAATCGCTCGAGGGTGAACGAACAAGCCGGCTAGAGTAGACATTCACAAAGGAGATATGTGTCGTTTGATCGTCGGGGATCTTCGACTGGAAATAGGTCGAACAGAGCGCGGCTTGGTCGCGTTATCGACTACTGCAAACGCTGACGATTGCTGACTGACGACCAGGTGACGGGGTCGTGATCAATGTGCATGGAACATAAAACGGTTCTCCTTGGTATCGTAACAATTCTCTGCCTTTAATTAAGACGAATAGGCGCATGGCTGGTGTGTATAATCAAGCACTCTTTTGATTAGTCTTTACAGATTAGTACTTAGATGTACACAGTATCACGACGACACATCGATGTTGCCATAGACGATGCATGTTACATATAGAAATTCGACATATCTTATTAACGACGTAGTACAGTGACACAAAGTATGCTTTAATGGTTGCTTGCGTGGGGTTGTAATTGTTCTATCATGTAGAATATCCGTGTGACGAGAGCCTTAACCGACGTCGTGTGCGCTTCACGCAATTTGTCCCCAGGTCTCGATTGATTAAAATGGCAAGCGAAGCTGAAGATCCCTCGAATTTCGTTCTTCGCTGATCACTCGCCCGTACGTTTGATAATGAGCGTGGTTTGTCGATGAAAGCGGGCTTGAACGAAGTCATCTTCTGGTAGCGCGGCTTCTTGTCAATCGAGCAAAGTTTTCGAGCATTTCGATTGTTGTTTCGTTCGAAAAGCATTTGCAGAGATGAATGTTCGAGTATTGAATCGATCAGCGACTGATTGATTGTAAAGATAGCTATTATAGAGTTGGGTTTCTTATCACTATAAGAAATTGTCTACTGACAACGGGCGATCATCCAAATCTCCATCGAACATTTAACTCTTTTCTTTTTTTTTTTTTTTACAAAAATGCGTGTTCTAGATTATAATGGAAAATAAACTATAACTAATAATAAAGGCCAAAAATGGTGGAAGGTGGTTAAAATCGAGAAGTCTCGAGGAAGCATGATACACAGAGAAAAGGGAAGAATCGGTTAAAAGCATGCAGCGATTCAAAGCACGACGAAGCGGGTAAAAAAGAACGGAATATAACTGTTACAAGACAGAGCATGCTGAACGTACAATGAAACGATTCCTATAGATATAGTACAGTCTAACGCGTATATGATCGTGATGGAACGTAGTAGCAAAGGCACGATTCTCTCTTATCATGAACCGACGTATATCTAAGATCGCTACGATCCTCTCGTTTGACCGATGCCAACGATTCTCTGAAATAAATATAAACAAACTTAAAAAAGAAAAAGAAAAGAATTGGATCAATTACGTCGAGGATCGTAGCAGCGTGTCAACCTATGTGCCTATTTATGGAAACGATCTTCAAGTCTCGATCGATCATCCCCCAAATTCTCGATTTTTATTCATAATTTTTCCTCGTCGTGATCTAAAAAATAAATAATTGCACGATTGCATCGAGGGAATGGCGGATGAATCGACGAAAATTGGGATTCCCGTCGGGCACGTTAATGGACACCTAATCTTACCACGATTCTCGATTATATCTCGATTGTTATATCCCTATTCCTACGGAAGGTAGGAACCAATTATCAACCCTACTAAGTCCATCGAGGATCGTAGCAGGACAATCGAATGACGATCGTTGAACGAGCGTTATGGCATGGTCACTGGCGAACAAATTTCCCTAACTAATTGCAATATTGACTCATCGTATACGTGTTAGCGGTTAAATTAAATCTCGACGATTACAATCGAAACACGATAAACGACATCTGACGTCTCAATATGACCTAAAGAACGATCTCTGGAATAAATAAAAACGATCATCTTCTCAAAAGGAAAAGATTCCAGCTACCGTTCCGTACTTTCTTCCGTCGCCTAAGTGAAAACGATGATAGATTTGATAATGAATATATCGTGGTAATTGCAATAATAACGCTTGTTAACGATCGAAGATCGCGGTTTCTGTGGTAGAACGCTAAGGCGTAGAGCTGGAACCGGTGGTCGCGGATGGTATGACCGTTGGCGCTGGACCGGAAGGGGGCATCGTCGGTGGCGCGTACGGACTTCCGCAGAGTTGGTCCGCGATCCTTCCACCTTCGCGAAGTCCGCTCAAGAAAGCACCGTGTACGGTCGCCGGGTAATTTCGTATGGTGTGCTCGCCTGAAAGCACAAATCGGTTTTCCATCGTGTTAAAGAATCAATGGGAATTGAATGCCACTGCTTGAGCTGTGGGCGAGAGGGATCTTTTTCGACTTTTCTTTCTCTGGGTTTTGAAGATGATGATCGTGGTAGATTTAGGGGACCGATAGCTCGAGGATACGGGAATGGAAATTGGAATTTTCAGGGGTTTGTCGATGGATACGCGATTTTGGAGAAGAGAAAAGTATTGGTGCGAGATTTATCTTGGTTTAAATCGTAGGTTTTGGTGCCACTAGGAAACACGCGCAGAATTAAAGCAATGTTACTAATGATATTTACATAAAAAACAATCAAACTCATAAACTGTACTATTAACAGATGTATGTATGTATGACCAGGTTTTGTATATCGTAAAAACTGTTTGAGTCATGGAATTCTATAAGCTACAACTCGGAATTTCTTTAATATCATTGGAGAGTAACTTATTATACAAGGGGATATAGATGCTCCGAATTCTAAAAAGTATGACAAATAAAAAGCATCTTGCTTATCACGAGATAAACGAATACCCTGTACAAAACTTTCTTGTCGAAAATAACTTCTTAAACCTATCACGAAACCATTAAATCTCCTTTGAAAAGACTATTCAAGGTAAAAGCCATGCAGAGAAAAGCACAACCCAGCCGCCTCAAAAAGATACGATTCACATCGCGGACACGGCGATTGCGCACTCTGTATCAGCTGGCAGACGCCGAAGTCCACTTCATTCGCTTCTCAAAAAGGAAAAAATGGGAAGAGGAGGGCGGGGTAGGGGGTGGGCAGCAACCGGTGAAAATATCGCGGAGGCTAAATATTTACCTGCGAAAAAGACCCTTGGTTGCGGTGGTGGGGCACCAGGGGTGGCAGGGGGTGCGACGGGCGCTGCCAGAAGATCATAATCGCTGCCGGAACTGCCGACCGCGACGAAGCTGTACGAACCTCTCGCCCACGGGTCTGCCCGCCATCTCGTCACCACGCTTTCACGAGGCTGTGGAACCACCTGGTTTCCAAAAATACCCTGAAAGCACAGCAGTACGTATTTTAAGCGGTAGATTGAATTTTTTAAGCAAAATGCATCAGGAAATAAATATTCTAGGTACGGTGAAACTTTCATATCCGCGTGGTAAGTTACGAAATTCACCGCGAATGGTAACAGACATTATAGTATTACGATGAATTTCGTATTTTTATGGTGAAATCTAAAATAGCTACCAGTGGAAAAGAACAACGAAAATATAACAAAGATTATACTAGAGATATCATACTATTATTAATCACTGTTCGTCGTTATTTGACACTTAAATAAATTTGGCATCAAAATATTGAGAATTGAAGGAAATTGAGAACTATGCTTGTTAGTAGTAAATTTTGTAATTTAATTCACGCAGATACGATGGTTTTAATGTAAAATAATTATTTTAAAAAATTTACCTTCAAGACAGCGATGCAGCGGCCAACGATAACGTCATCGCTGACGTTCTCCATCACGCAAGCAGCCTCGCCAGCGACCAAAGCCAACAATACCGGTGCTTTGTAAAGGTTCCAGAAGAGGAAGAGCTCACCACGTGACGCGGTCGTGCTGCCCACGTGGCCAAATAAATTGGCGGTCGGGTCCCAGAAGATCCGTTCGAAGCACAGCACCACCTGACGTGACGAATTCCCAGGAATTACTTCCTTGTTATGGCGGCACTTGCAGACTTGTCCACCGATTATTCTCGACTAAGGCATCGGTTTGACCCTCGTGGAGTCGTTTAGTCGACCAGTTTTAGGTGGATCAAAGTTTGAACGTATAAGGATGGAACTAGTGATAAAGTAAGTTTCTTTGCGAATTAGCATCTTGATGCAAGCAAGATAAAGTTAGATATTTTTGAAAGGACGAGTTGATTTGAAATAACTTACGAAGCTCCAGTTTTACGTGGTAAATGGTTGGATTTTCAATTACACCGAATATGTGTAATTTATATCTGACAATGTGAAGGGAGCTCGCAGTAGATGTTCGCAAGCTTGCGTGGAGAAAATATTATGTACCCGTTGGTTCTGGTAAATCCTTCGGTTTAAGGGTTGCTCACGTAAACGTTTACCACCGGTGCTTTGTTCCATAGATCATTCTCTTTACGGATTATTCGCCGTCGTTTAAGAGAATTACAAAATTCACGGGGAATATAACTATAGCATCTTTTGTAAAGCTTCCTAAATTCCAGTTTAAGCGACTTTGTACCAAAATCTCTTCGATACACATGTTGCATCCCCCCAGGATCCTTGCACTAAACTAAACTCATTCTATCTCTTTAACCATATACATAAAACACTTTTACTATTCAGTCACGCTGTACTTTTCGGATCTCAATTAGGCAACACACATGCTTGCCGCGTATAATACAATCTTTGCATCCATTCGTAATCCTATTCTTCAAATCGCTCATTCTAATCTTCATACACAGCTTCGGGCTCATCCCAGAAACATCACCGCGATAGAATCACCGATCCGAAAGCTCCCCTCGGCCAATTTCCCTCTCGAAATAAAATCGCATCGACCTGCAATCGGCGAGCTCCTTGAACCACGAGAAGCTCCACTCTCCCACGGCGTAACATCGATTCGTAAATTACCCTCGGAATTGCGGAGAATTTATTCGAGTGGACGAGCTATCGGTCGAGAGATCCGGACAGCCGTGGCCCGTTTGGCCGTGCGATGAGCCTTTAATTTCGGGAGAGGGCCGGAGTCCCGGATCGAAGCGGTCGTAAACCGACTCTGGGAGGCCGTAAAAGGAACGTGTCCCGGCGTAAGAAGCGACACGAGCCACGTCACCGTTGCTCTCGCGACGAAAGAGACCGCCGGATCACAATATATCTCATTCCGGGCCGGTCGACAAGTTCGATCGTCGTTTTCGCCGGCCGTATAAATCAGACGGA